GGGGGTGAGATTGCGGGGGAGGGCTTGGATGGGTAATAGGTGAGGGATGTGGGCGAAGGGCTGTGTTCGGGTGTGGGTAAGGGAGAGTGGGGTGAGATTGGGGGGGGGTAGGTTGGGGATAAGACTGGGGTGAGGGGAGTGGGGTGAAGTTGGATTGAAGTTGAAGTGAGGGTGGAGATGCGGGTGAGGGGCTGGGTGGGGGTAGGTGAGGTGCGCGGTGGGGGTAAGGTGAGGGTGTGGGTGTGGGACTGGGTTTGGGTGTCGATGAGGGGAGTGGGGTGAGGTTGGGGTTGAGGGGCTGGGTGGGTGAGGCTGGGCCGGTTCAGCGTGAGGGTGAAGAGATTACAGCAGGCATTTCATTACGATCAGAGCAAACGTGGAGCAGTTGAGGTTGGTTTAAGATGCCGCAGGCCAGGAAAAGGATCTCATTAGGGCATCTCTGGTCCCACCTCATTTCAAGGCTGGATGGTCCTGCCTTATCTCGCGCTGGCCCCTGACACCAGAGATCAGTCGCTCGCTCACACAGCCGATGAGATGCGATGCGTAAAAATCTCCGCACCTCTGCTCTGGCAATGCTCCCTCTGCCTTTCAGGCGGCCAAGTACGAGGCAGAGCGAGCATTGCCAGAGCGAGTGGTTTGCCCCCACTTTACTGAGCAGAGATGTCAGAGACTCAGCTGCGTCGTTGAAACCTGTTGGCTTTTTCCTCCCTTTGATGTCGTGGGATCGTAGGCCGGGTGGGCCAAGCAGGGGCAAGGGCAGGTTGCGCGGGGCTGGAGGGGGTCGAGGGTGGATGGGGAGGGGCTCGTGCCAGGGGAGGTGGGGCTCGGCGCAGGGCTGGGGACAGGGTACGGGGATGTGGAGTGGAGTTGGATGGAGGCAGGGACTGGGTGGGTCTGGGGCCGGGGCAGGGCAAAGCTAGGCTGGTGGGGGTGGGGGGTGGGGCTGAGGGCAGGACAGGGGGAAGGTGATTACCTGGGGGAGGAGCATGGCCACCAGAATGCCCACCATGACGCTGAGATTGTCTTCGAACCACAGCGAAATAGCGTCAACACAGCCTCGAGCGTAGATATAGCCATCGGTCTCCACTCGCTGTCAACAGCAACACACACACCATTAACCTTGATAACACCCACCACCACCACCGCCACCACAACAGCACCCGCTACCACCCACAGCATCACCCACAGCATCACCCACAACGCTAGGACGGAGCACTACGATGGGAATGACCGAGCTCCTGACAGAGGAGAGGTTCAGCGACAACAGATGATATTACAGATGGGGTTAGGATCAAGGAGGGGTAGAGGACAGGAGGGTGGGGGTAGGAGGGTGACCGAAGGTGCAGTCGAAGAAGAAGAGGGTCTCGAGACTGGCTTGAAAGGAGGCGAGAAGGGAGGGAGGGGGGGGGCGAGGCGAAGGGTCTGTGGGATGGAGTTCCAAAAGTTGGGGCAGAGAGGCTGAAGGTCAGACTGCCGATGGTGGTGTCCGAGCAGGTGGGGGATATGGGGAGCAATCCAATTGGGGCAAGGACTCCAGATGAGTCAGGAGAGAGTCTGAACGTGGACATGGAGTGAGATCCCCTTATCCCCTTCCCCTCCTCCCTCCCCTCTCTCTCCCACACCAACCACACCCCCACCCCCCCCCACCCACACGGCCAAGCTCTTACCTCAGCCGGAGCGCCTGATAGCCACACTGAGTGTTGATCATCACATCGCCCTCCTGACAGAGCACACAACACGGCAGGTATACCGCAATTTGCCTTCGCCCACAAACACGCACTCACACTGTACACACGCACTCATTTACGCACACCTACAAAGGTACACACGTACGCACTACACAGACAAACGCACTCACGCACGCACACACAATACACATGCTATCATATACGCGCACATATAAACATACACATTGACACACCTCACAGACATAGGCAATTTGCACGCACACAGACGCACATACGCAGACACGCAGTTCGCTAGCAGAAACCTTGACCCTCTTCCCCCCCCCCTCCGCGCGCCCCCCACACATCCTACAATCCCCCCTGAGGGTCTGCGTGTGCCCTACAGGCACTGCGTGTGGATAGACCGTTCCCATCACCCCTCCTCTCTCAATGACAAGTCACGAGCCTTTCAGTCGGACAGGAAATTGGACGGAGAATTGCTGCGAGATCATCCCAATCTGCTTCACAGCAATCTGTTTATATTCTCCCTCTCGGGAAATCTCTTGCTGTAGATTAGATACTGCTGCGGGTGTCTTATTCCCTCCTGTCTGGCTGTCTGGCTGAATGTCTGGCTGTCTTGCTGACTGTCTGTCTGTCTGACTGTCTGGCTGACAGACAGACAGATAGACTGACTGACTGTCTGACTGACTAGCTGGCTGACTGGCTGGGAGCTCGATCAGACATAAAGATATTAAAAAAACTAATTAAAAATGCAAGAGTTGAACCATTAACCAGTCAATATTTGGGGACAGCTAAAGCATTATTATCGCGAGTCGGAGAATTACAGTCAGGGCTTCAGACAATTAATGTGGAGAGTAATTCAGGTGCTGAGAGAATCCTCACAGGTTATTACAGAGAATAATAAGGGAGGGAGGGAGGGAGGGGTGGGAAGGAGGGAGGCCTTTCGTCAGGAGGACTCCAAGGGCTGGACACAGAGTTCGGATCCAGCTGAGGATGGAGTCGGGGGGGTGAGGGCGAGTGGGGGGGAGGGTGGACAAAGTCCAGTCGAAGAGGAGGGTCTTGAAGGAGGCAAGGGAGGGGGCGAGATGGAGTTCCAGAGGGTGGGTGCAGAGTGGCAAAAGGCCGCCGAGGGATAGTGGGGCGAGCAAGGCGGGGACGTGAAGCAGGCAGGAGCCCGCTGAGTGGAGGGAGCGAACAGGGTGGTGGGGGTTAGGAGGTGGCAGAGGTCGGGGGTAGCAAAACCATGGTGGGCTTTGAAGGTGAGGACCAGGATCTTGAACTGTATCCTCTGTGCGACGGGAAGCCGGTGGAGTCGGCGAGGATGGGGGTGGATAGGGTCGCGGAGCAACGGGGAGAGCCTCGGCTCAACAAGACGTTCAACTGGAGAAAGTTCGCTCTCGTCCAGGATTGATGTCTGGTGGACATTCTGTCAGGACAGCAGTGGGTCCTGGAGTCAAGGGTGGGGGCAGAGACACACACACACACTCACACACACACACTCACTCACACAGACACACACTCACGTACTCACACAGACACACACACACACACTGAATTGATTACCATTCCCCCCTCCACTCCTGGCAACGGCTCACATTGCACTGCATCGAGCTCAGTAACTCACGGTGAATTAAAATTGCTTTATTGACAGCCCTCTCGGCCTCCGCCCACCCACCCCCACCCCCCCCGTCCCCCACCCCCTCTCCTCTCCCCCGTGGTGGCATTCCGCAATCTAACTCATAAATCAGGAGTGAGAAGCAGGAGTCAGGACGCTCATTATTGAAACAGGATTAATTTTTGGCCGAGAGCGCACGGCCTCAGCCGGACAGACAAACTCTCCTCTGGCGCCGCAGTCAGCACTCACCGCAGTCAGTGCTTTCATCAGCAGAACTCGTGCGGCACATCGTCTGAAAGCGTTTCACGCAATCCTACTGTCCAGGTGCAGAGACACTGGGTGTTTGTGGCAAATAGCAGCTTCCACGTTTGACCCCCTCAGCAACGTCCCCGTCAATAATAATCCTAGCATTTGCCCCTTGTTGTGTCGGGGCTGGCAGTGGTGGGGGGGGGGGGAGAGGGGGAGCGCTGGGGGTGGGGGGAGCGCTGGGGGTGGGGGAGCGCTGGGGTGGGGGGAGCGCTGGGGGTGGGGAGCGCTGGGGTGGGGGGAGCGCTGGGGGTGGGGGAGCGCTGGGGGTGGGGGGAGCGCTGGGGGTGGGGGAGCGCTGGGGGTGGGGGAGCGCTGGGGGTGGGGGGAGCGCTGGGGGTGGGGGAGCGCTGGGGGTGGGGGGAGCGCTGGGGGTGGGGGGAGCGCTGGGGGTGGGGGAGCGCTGGGGGTGGGGGGAGCGCTGGGGGGTGGGGGAGTGCTGGGTTGGGGGTGGGGGGGGAGCACTGGGCTAGTGGGGAGCGCTGGCCTGGGGGGGACGCTGGGCTAGTGAGGAGGGGAAGGGTGGGGGGCGGGTGTGACTGACCTGCTCCGCACACAGCATGTGTAAGGCACGCCACATGCAGAGGGACCCGGGGCCTGACATGCGTGGTACTGATTGGCCTCCCAGTCCATGTACTCGTCGCCCCCACAACACGCAAACTGTCGGCAAAAAGAGAAACACATAATAAATACCAACAACATGTCTGACAATGGCTACAGCTGCTCCTATTTGCAGGGGTTTGGGGTGGGGGGGGGTGGGGTGGGGGGGGGAGAGTGGGGGGAATGGGGATGATTGGGTGGCTCTTTCAAAGATCCAGCACGGGCCCCGATGGCCCGAATGGCCTCCTCCTCTGCTGTAATATTCTATAATTCTATGCTTCTACCTCCGGAGAGCGATCCCAAGCGCTTCAAACGGTTTCCTGTAAAGTGTAGTGACTGTGTGTTTGTGGGTGGCACACGCTCGCTCGCTCGCAGCGAGGATCGGTGTTATTCCTGGATGTAACGGGAGCAATCCTGTGATCGGGAGTCGGGGTCGGCGGCGTGGGGGGGGAGGATTGTAGATGCACGTGCGTGTGCACGTGTGTTGAGTTATGTACGTGTATGCAGCAATCACTATGCGTGTGTTGGCGCGTGTGTATCGGG